GTAAGCCGAGTGCCGGTTTTCTTCTTTAAAAAGACGAAAAAAAACCCCAAACCAACCCCAAACCCCAACCCACCCAGATGGGGGGACAAACATTTAATCGGGCACCAGATGTAAACGAAACATCACGAGGCAAGGGTCGCTAAAATGCTGGAGCGGGAAGCATATGATTTTCCGTGGATGTTTTACAGGTGAGTCATGGTATTCGCTGCATGCTCTTACTCATTGCTGAAGATCCCAGTCCGGTGGCATGTACAGTATAGAGCATGGGAGCATTTACTCGGGCAGATTCGTGAAGTGCAAGTAAGGAAAAGCGCCTTTTGCGGGGCTGCGGCACAGCAGTCGCGAGCTTGTGGCTGACGGCATGGAAATCTTTACGCTCTCATTTGTCCTTTTTCTGAATTCCTGTGACAGCCAGCGGTACGCTAGAAAGCTGTCACTTTTCATAACGTTGCGGTGCTCTGCATCCGTCATGCAACTCTTTCCAACCCAAGTGAAAACAAACACCCTTTCAAAGGGGGTTTCCTCTCCCCCCCCTTCCCACTGGGACGGGAAGTGGGGTCTGCGTGCCAGCAGCGTTTCTCAAATCCCACTGAAGCCAAGGTCCCTGGCCCCAAATCTGGCCCCAGGTGAGGAAGGGACAGACCCTCCATGCCTGGCCCGAAGACAGCTCCACTCAGTGACTGGGACTGGAGCACACCAGGAGCTGGGAGCAGTCGAAAACTCTCAGCTCCGGGGGTCTCATGTGGGAATTTGGTAGCCAACCCCTCGTGGCCAGGCTCAGGCAGAACCTTGCCCCTGCCGAGCCCTGCCACCACCACCACCACGGTCGTCACCAGTCACCGGGAAGCCTCCCACCGACCGGGTCCTCCTCCGCTGCCTCCCCAGGGACAGGAATCGGTGGTGCGCAAAAAAACCAAAAAGACTTGATGAACACAAACAATCATCTCGACCTGTCCCAGGGTGCTGGCTGAGCCCTGCTCCTCTTACCTCTTCCCAAATCTGCTTTGTGATCCCGCAGCTGAGGGAACCGCGGTAAACGTTCATCTGTTTGTTTAGCGGCGAGCTGCGTTGTGTTACACGTAGCCAAAGAATCCAGGAAAGCAGCCAAAGACATAAATTAGGCCAACTTGTGGCAAGCCTAACTGATAATATGATAATAGCACTTACTTACCTGCCCCTCAGGAGAGCTGCGTAGGTTAGTTAATGTTTATACAGGGCTTTGAAAAGGATGTTCAGGAGATGTAAGTGATATTACATTAATCTTACAGTTATATTTGTTTACTTTTCTAGAGTAAACGTATTCTGCACAGTTAATAATAGATCATCTCAGACACAGTTTTACCAGATCCCTGTAGGAAGCTAACTTGGCTGAGCCTTTCTTGTTCACTAAAAATTTCCCAAGAGTGCTTAGCCAGTGAAATCCAGAGACTGGATTCAGAAGTGGTTTGTAATGGGTGCATAACAAGCGGCGGTCCACATCTGTTCTGAATCACCGGTATAGAAAACCTGTATAGACCTTTGGTGGTAGAAATGTTTTCTTTCCAGGATGTTTCTTGAGGAGCAGAAGGAGTGGGGAATGCTGTCAAGCTCTGAAGGCTTAGCCTCTGCTAGTGCGTAATATAGCTTAATTGCAACTATGACACTGTAGACAAAAGCTGAATAAACCCCAAATAAAGGATTTATTGGATGCTAAACTGAAACGACCTTTGGACATAACAAAAATGTCAGGAAGAAGCCATAGTAATTGGTGCACAAAGCTGACTATGTATGAGTGGCCCGGTGATAAAGAAGACATTATGCACCTCAGATGGTTTGGGCTGCCCACATCCAAGTCATCAGAGCTTACTTTTTTTTTTTTTTTTAATTATGTTAAACAGTTATGGTTCATCAAATAACAGCCTTGACCCACTGTTACATTTATTAATAAAGAGGTGGAGAGAGACCCTAATCAAACATTCCTGCAGCAGGAGGATTACATTGCAGATGGTTTCACACCAAACCCCATGGTGATTTTATTTTTCTTTGACACTTTAACTGTGGATTACTAAATCAACAAGGCTTCCAGAGAAACTTGGAACACAAACCACAAAGCCTCAGCTGTGAAGCAGCTTGCCAGTATCATTTCAACCAAGTATTATTTTTTTTTTTTTTCCCCCTTTACACACAGCAGTGACAGCCTTCCCAAACTTCAGAGGTGCTTCAATTCAGCCCTGACCTTGGCAGCAGTTTCGGACTGTGGGGAGACTTGGGATAGGGATGGAGGGGTGGGAAAAGGGTTAAAGATTTGAGGTCGTTGGTGGCAGGAGATATTCCTGCCAGCTCTCGCACCCCCGACACCCGGTCTGCCACACGGTGAGCCGGGGCGCAGCGATGCTGTCCCCCGCGGCTGTCTCCTGGCCGCCCACCGGCATGCCACCTTGGCTGCCCTGGTGTTGCCAGCAGCCTGACTTTCTTGTGTTTTTCTCCTCTTCCCCAGGACCAGCTGGATCCCCTCGGAGGCCTCAGGGCAGGGGCAGCATGGCCACGGTCACTGCCCCCGAAGCTTCAGCCCTGCTCCGGGTTCCTTTTGGGGTGGGAGGGTGAGGTGGTGGCATCTCTCCTCCCCTGCTGCCTGCTCTTCTCTGCAACTCTTGGTCGGGATTTTCCCAAAGTGCGGGGAAGCCCTGGGGCTTTTTTTGGTTTGTTTTGCTCTTATAGACGTGCTGAGCTCCACGGAGTGGAGAGCTGAGCAGCAGTGCCGCGCTCTCCCTCGACCCCTCTGGGGCTCAGCGGGTTCCGCTGGCACACGGTCTCGGCAGGGGCAGCATCCCCGAAAAGCGTGTCGACAGGGTGGAGTGTGCCCACCTCGGGAGCCGGCTTCAGCCCCCCCCCACCCCTGCTTTCTACCTTGCAGGTCTGGGCAGCGCGGTGGGAGCGGGCAGCCCCTGCGAAAAAGCCTGCAACCCTCGGATGGGCAACCTGGCCCACGGGCGGGCGCTGCGGACGGAGACGGCCTGCGGGCGCCATGCCGCCGAACTCTTCTGCGCCTACACCGAGGACGCCCAACGCCGCTGCAAGCTCCCCACCTGCAGCCGGTGCAGCGGGGCCCACGCAGGGCTGGCTCACCCCCCGGCAGCCATGGCCGATTCCCCTTTCCGCCTGCCCCGCACCTGGTGGCAGTCGGCGCGGGATGCTTCTCGCGAAACCATCCGGCTGGACCTGGAAGCCGCCTTCTACTTCACTCACTTGATTTTGGTCTTCAAGTCGCCCAGGCCGGCCGCCATGGTGCTGGAGCGCTCCCAGGACTTCGGCGAGACGTGGATGCCTTACAAATACTTTGCTGCTAACTGCTCGGCCACCTTCGGGCTGGAGGATGACGTGAGTCAGAGAGGAGCCATTTGCACTTCCAGATATTCCAGTCCCTTCCCCTGCACCGGAGGAGAGGTAGGTCTGCCGGGGTCAGGAAGAGAAAGCCCTCGCTCCGGCCCCTCTTTCCTCCTGCAATCTCCGCTCCGGCCTTTACGCTTCCTACTTTACTTTGTCATCCTTTGTCATCAAATTTGTTTCACAGGGTTAATTAATGCAGTTCATTCCTAGGTGATGTAGGCACTGCTCTGCCCCTCACTTTGCTGAGCTCGTAATCCCCCTCTTTTCCAAAAAGCCCTCTCCCCTCACCCCGTGAAACCCCACACACACCTGCAAACAAGGCAGATGCTGCTCGTTCCTCAGGAACGTCGCTCTTTGACAGTCTTCTCCAGTCCTTGCGGTCGTGTGATTTAGGGTTGATGCAAATTGGTTCAACTTTGACCAAAATGCAACTGTGTTAAAATTAGTGGTCACCAGATTCACTTTAAATAGCGACTGCCTTCACTGAGAAGTAAGTGTGTAACCGTTCAAAAGAGCCACTGACCACACTAAGTACTGTCCCCATAAGCCACGTTAGCCAGGTAATTAAGAAACTTATACCTCATCTTTTTTTTCTCTGTGCACACTCATTCTGATGTGAAATGAGTGTGAAAAAAAAAAAAAAGAAGAAAAACATCGTGTTTGCTAAGAGGAAAAATACAAGTGGGAAAGATAGTTTTCAATATCAGAAAGCAGATAATAAAGCATGCATTTGGGGGTGCTACCAATAATACTCTTCCCTTTGGTGCCTTAAGCCTGTCCCACGGCCCTGGAGACCCTGTCCTGGGAGCATCGGCTGCAGGGCTGCCCTCTGGGGTCCCCACTCCTGGCAAGGTGTCCCCAGTGACCACCTCTGGACTTTAAAGGCTGCTCCCTCTAGTGGCATCATTTAATGAGTTTATCTGAAAATTTAATCAAAATTCCCCTCCGACCTAACGTAGAGAAAGGAGCAAATCAGATTCGTGAATTGGGGGGGGGTCAGTTATATCATTTTAGTTTCTGCTGAGAATGGGTTTTGAGGTGACAGCCTGGTCCTTGGAGACCAGCAGTCATGGCTGAGAAAAATCCTCTGTTCGGACCCCTTTGCTCCTCTAGCCATGCTCCGGCTAGGAAGCCACTCTCTGCAGAAATACCAAGAGCTGTTTTTTCACCAAAGTGCATCTCTTAGCTGCGCCTCAGGAGGCAGCCCATGTCCTGCTCTAGGAGAAACTGCTCCGTGCTCTCGTCAGCTCAGAAACAAGGATCTCCAGACCTGCCAGACAGACCAAGGATGGTTATTGCATTAGCCCAGCAAAGGGTTTAAATCAGATGGCTGGCAAAAGAAAGTGCTATCTTCCTCTCATCTCCTGGCTCCCTTTGCTTGTGCTGCCAAAAAGCTGCCTGAACTTCCTTTCACAGTGAAATATATAAAAGGGCTTGCAGGAAAGATGGAGAAAGACTTTTCACCAGGGCCTATTCTGACAGGACAAGGGGTAACAGCTTTAAACTGAAATTGAGTTAGACTGGATATAAGGAAGACGTTCTTCACTATGAGGGTGGCGAGGCACTGGAACAGGTTGCCTAGAGAAACGGTGGATGCCCTGTGTTTGGAAGTGTTCAAGGCCAGGTTGGCTGGGGCTCTGAGCCACCTGGTCTAGTGGGAGATGTCCCTGCCCATGGCAGGGGGGTTGGACTAGGTGATCTTTGAAGGACTCTTCCAACCCAAACCATTCTGTGGTTCTGAATCGGGGCTAAATGCAAAGTGAGACCTACAAAAGAAAGGATGGACATACTCCACCGGGAATTTCCCAGGCCCTCAGCACTTTGGCCAGCCCCTGTGTCCCACCACCTGAAGCATAAGGCTATGCCAGCCTGTGATACAGGGCAGGGACCAAAATCTATAGCTCTCGGGCCAGCCAGCAGGACACATCTGAGGTACTCGGACTTGCACTCTCCTTTTCCAGCTTTCCCAGGGATTGTTCACAGGGATGAGAAACCCAGGGCATCATTCGGGGCAGTATTTGCCTCGTTTATGCTGGGTCCCGCGTAGCGAGCACGAGTTTTCACTGCGGTCATCCCAGTGATGTACCTGCGCACCAGGATGGGGGCTGTGCCTGGCGAGGACCTGTGCGAATCCCGACCGCGGGCTGGCTCCTTTATAGGTTGGTGCAATGCATAGGGACAGTAGGATCGAGGTCTCGTGTGTAGAAACCAATGCCCATCTCAAGAAGAAAAGGAATTTGGTGGTGTTTGATGCATCTGCAGTAGCATGCTGCAAAAACAGGCTGCTTACCGAGCTTGCTCCTGCGGGATCTCTTAGCCTCTGTTATTGCAGAGAAGCTATAAAAGTCAAGATCATCTAATTATTCCAGGTTTTAAACAAATGGTGAGTCCAAGGGGCTGGAGCTTATAAGATGTTATTTATATGGCACACTTCAGTTCCCTGCACTTAACCGCTTTTTTACCTGCAAAGCAATAACAGCAGCTCTCTGGTGACCAGATGGCAAGCCTGCATGCTTAGCAAATATCACATTTAATTTATTACAGTGTGCTACATTCCAGCAATTACTTGTAACTGCCAATAGCAACATGTATCTCACCTAAAGAAACATCACAGTTTTGTGTTCTGTTTGGAGTTATGTCCTGCTTTACTCCCACTTCTGGTGGCACCTAATTTCAGACATATGGAAACAGTAATTTCACTTGAAACTGCTTTCAAATCCAGAGTCATCTGAAATGTCCGAGTCTGAAGGGTATTATTTTAATGGCAGCTCAGCTGCTGCAGCTTTCTTTAAAGCACAAACATAAATTCCACGAGCGCTACTGGATTTCTTTTTTAAGAGAAAACTTTTTGAAGAGTTTTTTTAACTGCGATGTAACAACTGTAACCTGTGATCCAAACCGTGTATCGCTCCCTCTGTATACCACTTACTCCCACTTCAAACATTTCCACGCCACACGCGCGTTTCCAGGCACAGAGTCAGGGCTTGCGGGATTTTGCGGGACGGCGGGGTCTCTGCACGCTGCCGGCAGCTCGGTCACTGCCGCCCGTCCCCTCGGATGACCAGTTTGCCTCTGGGGAGGCTTCAGGAGATGCCGGCTCACCCCAAACGGCACCGGAGCTTGGCACAGACCTGTGGCTGGTTGGGCTGGTGGTTTCTGGCTTTAGCCCTCTGCAAAGAGCCGGCGGTGCTGATCCGCCTGCATTTCGGCCGATCGTTACGGTGCCTGCGAGCCCCGTTTCAAGGCAGCAGCATGCAGAAGCTCGTAGTACTCAGGGGCTTAGGGCCTCTTTTTAATAAATTGCCTGTGTTAATTTGGAGCAAAGGTGTATCTGCTTCAGCTTTTATTGAAAAGAAAGATCAGGCTTTTTGCATTTCTTCTGCCCTCGTCCCCATGAGTCATTCCTTAGATGCCTAGCTCAACTCTTACGACAAAAATCCTCCCTCAGCACAACTTGGCATGGTGTTGATCTTGAGGAGATTTACGATAGCGCAGAAAGCAAGCTGCCAAGCCTCTGGGTTCATTTCAAAGATCCAGAGCTCAGAGCTGGTAGAGAAATGAGAGATGCTGAAATGGCTCTGGGAGACGCCTTTCATCTTTCTTCTGTAGTAGAGCAGCTCTGGGCTTCCCTTTGCCGTGGTGGGACTGGAGTGGTGGAGAGAATTGGGAGAGCGATCTGTACTTGGAGGGTGTCACCGTTCTGTGGTCACCTATGCTGGGTGCCACCATGGTGGTGGGAGCCAGAAGAGGTAACATCATACGCCACATGTGGCACTTGGCAGGTCTACTGATGGGTAAAGTCACCTCAGCAGGGATTTGGCAGGTCTCTGCTCTTCTTTGCTACCTGTCCTTGATACTGCAAAACCACCGGGCATGGTTATTCTCTGCTTTGAATGCGTCTGAGTCCTCCACCCTGAAGCAGGCATGAGCTGGAGGATCGACAGCCCAACGGTGGGATTAGGAAGGAAAGGGCAGATCTGGACAGAACTGGAGAGGAAAGAGGTCGAAGGCTGCATGGCACAGTACTGTTCTCAGGAACGCTGCACTGATGCCCCGGGTTTGGTCTTAAAAGCTTTCTCGGTGGAAGTAATCATGAGTTCACAGGTCAGCACACGCTCACAGACTTGGCCGAGCTGAGCCCCATGCCAGAGCAGCCCGGCTGTGGTCTGGCCTCACGCAAAGAAGAATCACCCTTTCAGCAGGCAGGAAAGCAATGACTTCTCTGCAAGGATCCAGGAGCCAAACAAAAAAACTGAGCTCCTCCTCGGTAGGGAACAGAAGAAAAGATGCAGATGGTGGGTGCCAACCTCCTGCCCCAGCATCCCCAGGCACTCGCTCCATCCTATTCAGAAATCCACCCGCAGGCTGGAACTGCTCTCAGGAGCTCTCACCGTTCAAGACCCAGGGCCAGGCTGTCCCCCACCATCCAGTATGGGCGAAGGAGAAGCGGGAAGGAGGAGGAAACCCCAGTACAACCAACCCAGGTTTCCAGCAAGCTTCAAGCATCTGCCGCTTGGAGGGGTCGGATTTGCAACACCGTGAAGGGGACAAGAAACTCCTTCCCTGTCAGGGAATAGTTTCAGATCAGCTGCACGCAGGGGGGTCACTAAAGACTTTCCCCATGCTTCATTTAGTGAATTAATTGTTTCACAGCAGCAGTTTGTTTAGCAGAGGCAGAAACCTCTAAATGGTGGCCTTATATCATCAGTGTTTTAAGAGAAAGGCTAAGGCCAAGTTTTAGCCTGGATCATCCAAATGTGCTACAAATCCAGAATATTTCCACTGTTTTCCAGGGTGTAACCCTTCAGCCACATTATTGCAAGGGAAATCAGAACTGGATTCACCAGCCAAACATAATCTGATCTCAGTAAACAAGATGCAGAAATAAACTCTTTCAGCTTCATGCTCGGACAGGAATGCTGATTTTATTAGTATGCATAAAAGGCTATCTTCCCTCCCATAGTTCAAATCATATTAATATTTCTCTTTTACACTCTAATCTTAAAATTGTCCTCGTCTAGAGATCACTGTTAAGGGCTCATCGACAAGGGGCCCTT